CGGCCAAACTTGTCACATAGTGTTCATCACTCTCATTACATCTTTGCTTACTGCTGGTCAGGAGTGTTAACTGATTTGTTGCATTCATTATTGAAGTCTTTGGGGCTTGTAAATGCTTCTTATTGTTTTGATCAGCATCCATTTCAAGTCTGTCACTGTATCAGAGAATTAAGTCAGTTTTATGGTAATTATTCAGGCCACAGTGGTGCTTTTGTATTAGATTACATTTTGATATGAGTTAATGTTTTGTCAGTCCCCTATTTACATAAATGAGGGGGGCCGAATATTATAAACACCTCCTGATATGATGCAATCTAATACAACAACAAAACATTACCATGCAACAATTCACACTAGGTAAGATTCACAAAGATAAGATTTATTTCAGGACTTTTGTATTGGTTGTCTAATACAGTGATGACTCTACAGTGTGCGTGCAAGGTTTTTAGTGCCCTTTTTCCCAACAGTTGGACAGGCTTTGAGAAGAAGCCAATTTCTGTTTATTTGGAGTACTCTGCCGGTCACTGAGCCCCAATGACCCCCCTTGAGTCGTTCACATCTCCATCGCCCGCTGTGCACCCTGCTACCAGTTGGTATTAGCTGGCTTAAGTGAGGGCATCGTGCCAAACTGTCCGTTAACCAGGTCAATAGTTGGAGCCTTTGTCCCCATGGCACTCTCCCATACATGCTTACACACACACACACAGAGCTCACTCTGTCCACCGTTTTCATGTAGGTGTCAGCAATTGTTTGAGAAAAACATTGTTAATAAAAAAAATGTTTATGGATTTATGTGGGAAACTTGAGAGGGGTGAGCTGAGAATGTTTTGTATCACAAAACATAACCTGTCTGCAAAACTCATTTGTTTCCTTGGTTGTCTGTGTACTCAGCGACCTAAGGCAAATACCAGGCACACACGAGTTTGACATCCTGGGCTGGACATTGAAAATGTTTAACTAACTGTTAACCCTTCTACCAACTCTAGCCTTTCATCTATCTACGATGTTGATTTTGTAAACGTATCTTGTGCTACAACTGCTTGCCCATACTCATATCTAGCATTAAATATTATTTGTTAAGGTGTTACAAAAGGGCTGCAAAGTGGTAGGGTTGTTTAATCTGTTGTTGAATCATGTTGAGACATGAAAAAATATTTGACACACAAGTTCATGCTTGTTTTTTAAGGTTATGAACTTTAGCTATTAGTAATTAGCTATTTTAGTATGTTTTAAAATAACATAACTTGTTTATCACATTATGTTTCATTCTCTACGAGTGAAATTCTGGTGTTGCTGTCCTTAACCGGATGACTCTAGTTATCAGCCAGTGGGCCATCTTTGCCATCAGGAACCTCCTAGAACACAACCCGCAGAACCAGGAGTTGGTCGCCAACCTGGAACGCCGTGGCACCGCTGACTACTCGGCGCTCAGGGAGTTGGGTTTCCTGGTGGAGGAGCGAGATGGAAGCTTGCTGCTCAAACCTGTGAGGAAAGACTCTTGAAAACCTTAAGAGGAGCAGCCAGGAGAGAGGAGGCCACCGCAAGCAGGTTTTCATGTGAAATATTTATTTAGAAAGGAAAAAAGTACATGTGCACACGTATACGCTTGTGTGAACATGTACTCCTGTTGTGCAACAAGCCTCATTAATGTTACCTAATACTTAAGCTTCATCTGCGGGTGAATGACCTGTCCACTAACAACACATACGTTTGGTTTTTTTTGGCCTGTCCAGAATAATTGACAGCCAAACCGCTGATAGATTAAGTAGAAAAGCGCTTTTCAATTAGATATTTCTATCCAAGAAGTACGTATAACTTACTTTTCTACCTCAGTAATGCTTGCACTCGTGCCCAGATGGGATTTAAGGTATTCTCAATACACAAAAGGCCCACAGGGGTCCCCCTGGTATATAAGCAGGAGCTCTTGTTTTGTCTTGACCAGAGTCTGGGAAATGAAGAGTTTGGGAGAAGCGAGCGCATGCTGGTACCTTTTTGGCAAGGCTGATTCTTTGTGGTTTAATCCAAAGACAAAGAACACCACAGTGTCTGGGCTTTTCACTTTTCACAGACACTGATGTTACCAGCAGGGGTTGGGGTTTAATCCCAGGCCCATAGTGACTTCTGCAGTAACCGCGAAACAGAGAATGGCCAAAACATGATGTAATCAACCCCCCCACCACCTTACCTACTTAAATGGTGGTGTATTTGCCAGAGGGACAAAGACTTTTGTGTTCCCTCATTCAAACGCTTAAAATAACTGCTTACCTAAAGAGGCATAATATTATTAATATAGTCTAAGGACATTTCAGTGCAAAATGCAATACTAAAACAAATAACTTAAGCTATGCATGTTTTGTAATTTAAAAACAATGCTCAGTATACAGTATGAGCTTGTTACTGTATCTCTTCTGGCTTTTGCAATGCTTCTTGTATTACAGTTATAACTAATGAGATTTATACTCAGCATAGTCTCCATGCTCCATCATTTTATTCCCTTTCTATCATCTTGCATAATACTATTGATAAATAAGGCATGAGGGCTAAGCATGCATCATAGATCATTAACATCAACAAAACTCACAACATTTAGTTCATGTTTTACACCTTAGACCGCCTCTCTTCGCTCTCAGTAAGCTGTATTTGAGTTTTACCAGACTGCATAGACTTTCTTAGAGATTTAGTAAATACTGTGCTTTCTGTTTACCTGTAGCTTTGTGTTTTGCGTGTGTGAGATAGTGAGTCTGGATCAACAGATGATAGATGAGATGATACAGAATGTTTACACATCAACTAAGTAAGTGAGTGAGTGAGTGAATCAGACCAGAAGCATTAGTTTGCAGAATGACATCCCTCCCTGCTCCTCCCGTTGCTGGATAAGCTGAACGGTCCTGACACCTCAACAATGCAGCGCTTTACAGGCCTGCCCACACCCTGCTCCACCCTGTTTGCTCTGCTTCAGATTTTTAATGACAAAATGTATTGAAACAATCGGCTGGACTCTCCCCTCAATCCAACGGCATAGTAAAGGGAGCTTATGCTGTTCCGGTCCCCAGGATTTCAGACAGCTAACAAAACAGCTGTTACTTGCGCTCGACTGGCTGGCTGCAATGCTTTTCAGCCCCACAGGAAAGAGGCTGTGCGAGTCAGCCGGGCTGAATGAGGTGGCATGGCCACGGCCGACTGTTCACCTCCTAACACATTAGTACCACATCAGTCGAGGCCAGGAGTTCTTGTGTTTCCCATATCAGCGTTTTACACCACAGGCCTCTACTATATTGTATTTGTGCCTTCTGGTTTGATATTGGCCTTCAGCAAAAACCACGTTGTCAGGGTGTAAAGTATATGCTTCATGTTTGGGTCAAACAATATGTTTCTATAATGTCTAATAAAGTATTGTGTGTGACAAACAGCTTTTTGTAATGATTTTAATGAGGCCAATAAAGGCCATATGTGAAATAAAAATCAAGAGGCATTAAAAAAGGATGCTCAAATTTTATTGGTAAAAAAGGAAAAATACAATTGTCCATGTTTGTAAGTGATGCAGACTTTGATTTTGCCACAGAACAAATAAAGAAACTTTAAATTAGCTGTATTTGAAGTTGGAAATATGCTTTCAGGAAGCAATGAGTGGTTCCTAGTTACTGTAAGGGCTATGAAGACAACTGGAAACACATAAATCTCTTCAGTCGAAAGCTGCACCACCAGTTGGTTGCTTCCAATGTATTATCCATGCATTTACTCAAATACTAAACAGTGGTTTTCACAAAATTTCCTTGACTTTCCAACACTTGGTGAACTCAGCTTTTATGAGCTACGATGAATTGTGAAGGATCGTATCGAGATGGACAATCTGGGCTACTTTGGTGAAACATGTGGAGTATTTACAATTTAGGAACTTTGATCCAAAGACATAAATTCCAAATAATTTATAGCTCTTAAATCTGAAAACAATGACATTAGAAAACACTTGTAAATAGTGACTTTCTTTTCCATCTATAAATGACATAAAGTGCCACGCTCCTCATATAAAAATATACTCTTCAAATTGTTTTGTAAGTTATATAAAGCCTAAATAAACATTTCTGAATACATTAAGGGTGCTGTCCAAAAATAGCTTTGAGGCCTTTGATCCTCTCATACCCCCTTCTGTGTGGTTGGGGCACATGCCATCCACCCAGGCAGGCCTAAACCGCGCTGGAAGGCCTTGTGTAAGCAGAGGCCATCATGTGGAATTCCACGTCTCTGCTGTTCATGGGAATGTTGGATGTATCTGAACCTGATTGCACCTCTATGGAGTTCCAATGAGGCTTACATGCTTTTCTCAGAAGTCAAGAGCCCTCCGAAAACGAAACAATGAACATGGGTCAGGATGGAAAGTGCCGTTCAAACTGACAAGTTGGATGCTTAAAATAGTTTGGGAATATTTTCTGCCTCTTTGGCTCTTGGCGTAACAAAGGGTCTGGGCTCGGGGTAGGAAGGGGGGGATATGTCCATGAGAGAGATGTCAGCACAGCACTCAATCCCCCCAACTTACTGATGTCCCATGAAAAAGAGAAACAAATGTGACTATGTGAGTGCAAAAGAAAAATAACTAATCTATAGCAAAATACGCCACTGATGACTGATAATGAATAAGAAGTGAAATAGCAGATGATTTTGCTGTTCAGTGGCTAGAAATGTGACTCCATATGACTAAAAACCGGTTACTCCCAGCTTGACATGTATCAGTAGCAAATGAAGATCATAAACGAGGGAAAAAATGTTAAATCCGCCCTCTAAGACTTTAGGTTTGAAAGATATTTTTTACATAAATAGTTTTGTTTTATTTTCAGTGATCAAACAGAATACAGTGTGAGCGTACAGTTAAAAGTATTCCACTGCCAGCTTCATATCTTCATCAGGAGCTTGTCTTCTTTCATGGCAGTCTGAAAGTGTTCTGCAGCTGTAGCATTTCCAGTTAGCGTGTCACAAAAAGCCCTCTCAAGATCCCAACAAAAGTCTTTGTTGTGTTTTTTTCCTCTTGTGCGTTGACATCTGTAAGCGACATCTTTGCATGTTGTTGTCTTCCAAATATTGCTTTGCTGGAGGCAAAAAAAAGAGACATCAGAACCTCTCCCCTGCAACGTATTAGCGTCGTGTCAACGTTTTGTACCACCGCGCAAAAGAAAATGTGTTTTTATTTTATAATCACTGTCCAAACCTCACGTCTGTTTTTCCTTTCTTCAAAGGATTCCAAAATTGGATGTAAAAATGTGCAAATTGTTGAATAAATACTTCCAAGTCCTTCACTTCAAATTCCACTTTGTCATAAGCCCCTCATCTTCAGCCATTGTCCGTTTTGCCCAGCCTCTTCCCTACAGCCAGTGCCACGCTTCCTCATTCCCTACTTGCAGGTGAAAACTTCCGATTTCTCGCTGCAGGTGTTGCACTTGACAAAACAGCACCAGTGGAACTTGCAGTTGCACTGCCAGATGCGCGTGTAGTGGTGCGTGTTGTAACCCCGGCCGCAGCACATCACATTACAACTGTCTGTGTTGGTCGAGGTGCCGTTGCACAGTCTGCCCCGTGTTCCTGTGCTTCCCGTGGCTGTGTCCTCTTCGCAGTAGTTTGGCGAACGCTCCAGATACACCAGGTCTGTGTCCGTGGGCTTCTGGTAACCCCGAGCCTCTTTGAGTCGTAGGAAGGAGGGTTGGCGGAGCCGCGAGGCCCTAACAGGCTCCACTTGAACTGCGTCACTGTAGCGTTCCTTGAGCAGGTAACCGATCTCTCTGAACTTGGGCAGGGTGATCCAGCAGGTCTTGGTGGTGCAGGAGCCAGACACGCCGTGACACTTACACTCCAGCTTCATCCTCTCCTCTAGGATCTGAGAGAGAGTAGAAATTAGGTCTGTATGAATTAAAAGACATAGTTAAGAGCTGAAAATATATTCTGTGTGATTCATACACATCTATGGCTTGAATTTGAAACAGTTATCGCAGCAATCGCATAGTCTTCATATCTGTCTCTTTTGGTAAGCTGTGCTTTTTGCTTCAACTTCCAGCACACCCAACAAGTATGCCAACTTTATGTCAGAAACCTGCGGAAAATAACTCATACCCTAAGCCAGTAGTCTCTAATTAACTTTACCTTTCTTCAGACCACATAATGGCGTGACAGCCCGAGGAAAACTGACCAGAGCTGTTGTGCAACCATACATATATAGAATTACATTGTGGTTCCAGACAGATTTATATTATAATGCCATACAAATATTCTCAGATGACAAAACTGACAGGTGAATGTTTGCCCTTGTGACTGAGCTTCTCATTTTTACAGCAGATACATTTTCATTCTAAGACAGTATGGTCTTTTTGAGCGTCATAGCTCATAATTAGAACGTCTTGTAACGTGTTTGTGCAGAGCACTGGTCAAATCAGCGACTCTGTCTTCCCCTTCACGGCTATCACATTCTGGGGGAGCTTTCTGTTGACTTTGGTTGGTTCAGTGTGTGCGGTGGTGCAGAAGCATGGGCTTTTGGTGCTGCCACTGAGGAAGGAAGAGAAAGAGACTTGCAATAATATCCTCTATCCTCACTTAACGCGTAGTAATTCAGTGAATGGACTGTAAGGCTATGGCACACCTCCATTTTGGCTGCTGTGCCTGCCAAGTTTTAAATTTCTGTCACACATACACACTCATATTTGCACTGCAATTCAGTGATTCTCAACCCTTTTGGTGTCAAGGACGCCCCAATTGATACACATCAGACCACAGACCCATATTTTTTCTTTAAGATTCAGCCTCAGGGTCTGATAAGATTTATATAACCGGCTACACTGTAGATTGGCAGATCAACAGCAAGGAGTGTGAAACCTATAAACAGAAGAGTCATACTTATACATTCTCTGAGTTGGCTAACTTCTAGTTAATGAAATAATAGTGAAATTAAAATATTTCCCATTTTCCTGGGGAACCCCTGGGACACCCTCAAGGACCCCTGGGGTTCCCCGGACCCCAGGCTGAGTGCCACTGTTCTAGTGTACAAGAACTTTGTTTTATCCTTCGTTTTCTCTTCCTACATAATATAACACATATTTAGACTGGTGTTTGGTGGGTTTTGAACCCCAAAAATAGATTCTAATAGTCCTTGGTGTAGTCAAATTTACTTTGCTTGCGTTACCTTTCGCCCTGCCTCATTGTTGTGCAGGTTCATCAGCCGGCGGGCGTTTTTCTTGATCTCACGAGCGTCTACAAAGCGTCGCGAGAACTCCACGCCGTACTTAACGTCAGCCGAGCAGCCTCCCCACTTCCAGCCCTCCTCCTGATAGTCATGGTAGCCCTGCTTCTCGCGGTCACAGCCGCACTGGCTGAGGTTGCCTTGGCTGCAAGCTGTGGTCACTGCGTGGGCAACTCCGGCGGCGGTGATGGCATAAGTGAACGCTGCCTCCCTGCTGCCTAAAGAAGAAAAAGAGGAGAATCTGAATAAATTTGAGTTGGAGTGGAAAGTAGTGGAAAGTAACATAATACAAGTACTTATTATTTAAAATTGAGTAGCTTTTAATTGACCTAAAATCAGTTAGATCTGTAAAATTACAGTATTTTCCTCAGAAAGGCAAGAATTGCATACCCAAAATTGGTGCAGAAACACTACCAATTTTACACATGAATTGCAGCTTACTTGTCATGAGAAGTACCACTGAAAAACACAGTGTTACTTTACTAACTTTATTTAGTGTTGGTGTTATTTTGACGTTACTGTTAGGTTACTGGATCAAGACCAGTCTGAGTGTTGGGTGAAAGAAGGGGGCATTTAGGAGGTCTGGAGTGTCAAATGAAAGATGCTACTGAAGGTTTAATTTCTCTCACCCAAACACGTGCAACAGAACTAATAGGAGGTATAGAGAGATGACCATCTAGCACAAGCTGTACACACCCACACAGTCCTAAGAAGAGGTCAAATTAAGCAAAATAAGTAAAACATTCGTGCCCCTCTCTCTTCCCTCGTTTACTGTCTGCCTCTGTGCTATCAGCGTTCCAATAAAGGCAAAATACCAAAGAACAATGTTAGACAATTGTGAATCCTCCAATGTATTGACGTGCAATCTTAAATTGCTGGACTAAGTCCCCCTCCACCCAAAAAATATGTTTTTCTTCTTGTTCCTACAATTTGATGGTTGAGCGTCACTGTGCAGAATGACATGTCTACAGACAGTGTAGAAGGATGTTTTTACATTGATCTGCTGAAAGTGGAAAGTTTTAAGGGGCGGAGCCTACGAGCATGATTTGTGCAAACAAATAGTTTGGACGTCATCCTGGTCCAGGATGCAACTTTTACAGCCTCCCGTACACATACACTGAGAATGGACTTTACAGTGAAGTAGGAAACATCTCGTGTCCCGCAGGAAAAACCTGTAATGATGATACTGAAAATTGACAGAATTTGCATATTCATAGATTCTGGTATTTTCAATGAGGTAGAAGGAGTAGATGGCTTTTTAAGGATTCAAATTTCAGACACACGTTATTGTTCCAAACTGAGTATTTGTGTATCTATTTTCGTACAGGTCTGGAGGGGAGAGTATATTAATGTTGGGATGAAGGGATGTTGAAGTGCTCCTCCTTACACTATATTTAATAATGTCAAGCATCAGCACTACAACTTCAGTAGGACATTGTCAGTAGTCTGTTCAGCCTCACTTATTCTAAATACTGTATAAGGCAGATTAAAGGGCTAGATATCATCAGTATAAAGAGGATTAATCAGAGCTTCTATATAATCTCATAATAACCCGCTGATTTTGTTCTTTCTGCTTTGTTTCACATCTCTGATCTGCATCGGTAGTCAGCCACTGTTATTGTGACAAAGTAATCAGCATATTGAGGAAAACACAAGTGACATCTACTGGCTGACTAGAGGAGCGTTTTTTCTGGATCAGCACTCAGAGTTGCTGTGTCTTAATGTTTTTCATCAATGGAATTTCTCACGCGGCTTAAGTGTCATTCTGTGTCTGTCTTAGGCGGTCCACATTATTATAGCAAATGATACCGCTGTGTTGCATGTTGAAATAATCTGTGGCCAGGCTTAACTGAGATGTGCCCATTTCCAGGCTTTTGTATGTCACCATTTGAACTTCAGGATAAACACATTTATATTTATGGCGTGGAGAGGGAAATGAATTTATTGGCACTACAATTGGTAATAGGATATCGTGCCTCTCCAATCAGGATAATGCTGGGCCTGCGTTCTTCTCAACAGCCCAGAGTATTAATGCATGGCGTCTCTGGAAGAGGCGATTCTAATGGCTCCCTTCCAACCTGACAAACTCACTCGCAGAAACCATCAGGCCTGCGGTTCCCCCGGTCCATAACTCATAACAAACTCTGAAGTCTTCTCTCATCAGGCTAAATCCGCGACCCATTCAGATATATTGTATGGTGAGCATTTCTCAAGGCATCAGGCGCATGCAATAGCCAAACAGCCATCCCTTCGCACTGTGATTTGTTTTGATTGTACAGCGGTGCATGCAGGGTTCCATTGTTGCCATCCAGCTGCTGGAGCTGACTTCAATTAGTGGTTAGCATGATTCTCTCTGGTCTTTCTCAACGCTTAATGAGTTCACAGGGCCCGGCAGGTCAATCAAATGAAGTGGTGGATGGTACATTGGGGACACAAGAGGGGGTACGGCAGTGGCATTCATTTTCAATTACAAACAGAGGTGGCAAAAGGATACCAATCTTGCTGAGAATCCGTAAAGATGAAAGGAAAACTGACATGCTCAATATTTGTATTTTTGCTATTAATTAAGTCTTAATTCATCAACATGATAGGATTTAGTCTTCCAGAAAGTTCTTCTTTGGTAAAACTGTCGTGGAGAGGACATGAGGATCAAAACTGGGTCCAAAGTGTCTCTCCGTGCTACACACCACAAGAGAAAAGAGACATTTCCTCTGACAAAAGAAATAAAGGGATCCAGACGTCTGTCTGCCTGTCTCCCGTGTAGAAGAAAGTGATTGCTCCCAGAGCTGCTAGATTAAACATGGATCCAAACCCACAGCAAGACCGCAACAAAACATTTCGGACTGAAACACAATTTATATAAGAGGTTCACATTAGGAGCAAACCGGCTTCTGTGAGAAATAAAACTGGGAAGAATGTCGACTAAAGTCAGAGAGACATGTTAGTTTGCGTGTTTACACATCATGTAGGTTCGAGTCAGAAGATGGCACACCCAGATAGGCATCAAACGCTACTGCATAAGGAAGTCTTGACACTCCATTCACTTTGCTGTGACAGTGTGTGTTGCAAGCACAGTGATGTCACACACATGAACTACAGATTGAATCTCCTCTGGGAACACAAGGCCTTTGTGTTTTTTTGTGTTAGTGTCTGAACGAAGCAGAGAATCCATTGTGGTTCTTGCATGTGGTGTTCCAAAAATGCTTTCATTAAAGCTTCGCCACCCATCTCAGAGTCTGTTTCATGCCACTTTGTCGAGCTATGCTGCGGCTTTTCGCATGCCACCGACAACAGTTACAGGAGGATCGAGGACAATACGAGATGAATGAGGAGACTGATTCTCAAACCACAGTGCTAAACATCCACACACATAATGTAGCACGGTTCTTTCATCTTCAATGATTGGAAGATCAGCCCGCACAGCTCGGTTTGGTTGGGTTTAGGCCAATTGACGTACCTGATGACACACCTGTGGACAGATTAAAGCAACACCAAGAGAACAGATGCATCGCCCTGATCTCAGATCAGTCCATACTCCTGCCTCAAGGCTGAGATTTCCACTTGTGTCTAAATTTAGTTTGATGGAACTGACCGTTGTGAAAATGTTGATGCATACAGTCCAGGGATTTACTTTAGTGAGTGTTTAATATTAACCAGTTTTGGCCCTTGTGTGTGCCCTGATCCCATATCTGTCCCCTCATTTCCAGACACATATCTACTGTTAAAATATCTAAGAATGGCATAAAAATAGCAAAAAACAAACCAGAAAATTATTGAGACCCCTGCCTTTGACCATCCTGCTGTCTATATTGGGTTAAAATCTTTTGAAAACTCTCTTAGGGAAAACTAAAGGAGCTAAGTTTCAAACAGACTGACCTACTCTCAGCTCTTGTCCAAAGACGGTCCTCTCTCCCAGGGCCGAGCAATTCCACCGGCCGTAGCGGAACTGGTACTGACACTCATTGATGCCCAGCTGGGCACCTTCGCCAATGACGATGATGGCATCTGGGCGACTCTGGCAGAGGGCTCTCTGACGGGGGGCCAGTCCCGGTATCTTGTTGCAGATGATGTTAGCACCTAGAGCTACCACAGAGGACAGCGCCCTGGGCAGAGAGAGAGAGGCATTAATGAAAGGGACTCTCAAGATAGATGGATAAAAGGAAAAAGTGAGGAAAGATAAGAAGAAATGGAGAAACAAAATGTACCTTTTTGCTAAACTTTTCATTACAGTTGCCAGCCTATAGATACAGACCAATAAACAAGACCAAATGAGAAGACTCTGTTACATTCATCCTACTACACGTCACATCATCTGTAATTTAATGGACCTTCATAAAGACATGAAAGAGAAAAAAAAAATATCATAGAAATGGGTCCATATCCACTTCATTTTTGTCTCTTTCTGTGTTACAGAAAACTGGAACCAACACAGCTATTTTATGTTTCAGGACCTGCCCATGTTATGAATGAGATGCATGTATGGTGCAGCAATCATTCTCTCTGAGAGGGCCTGGGTCTTTTAATGCCATAAGAAAGAGCTCATTACACAGGCCTGCGCCTATAGGCAGAGCATGAAGCAGTCCAGTAGGACTCTTTTCCACATGCTGCTTTCCAATTACGGCCCTTGTCTGACGAGGTGCTCCTATGACAAAGTGGTTCTGGTGTAATGTGTAAATCCATAAGAGCAGGTTCTCTCATCAGCTGCGCGCGTATTAGAACATGTGAAAATCATGTAGGATAAATGCTGGCTTCATTCGCGCAAGGCTTCATTGACTCTAAATAGTCGATTTATGAAACAATGTTTGAATGAAAATGACATAACTGCTTAGATTATTGGAAAACAGTCCGCAGCTCTTGTTCCTGTGGTAGTCTGTCATTCCACTGTGGAATAAAAATGATTAAACGACTCATGTCACGCATTTCTTACTTTCCATTTTCTTTCTTGTTTCCATTTCCAAAATATCCTGCCGCACTAGAACAGAATGTAGCCACAAGAAAGATTAAAATTTGGCCATCTGACATCAGTTATTTACCTGATCAGCGGACTTTTAAGTGTAAAAATAGTGCTGAAGGCATTTCCTGGTCGTGATAAAACACCTGCAACAACCAACCTAAGCTTACAAGGTGAGATCTAACTTATTTTGCTGTATTTTCCCGGTGCGTAATTGCGCGTAAGGCACAACTGCTTGCCAGCAAATCAGACCCACTTTTGTTTGGAATTTAGCAAGTGCATTGATAAGAAACCTACAGGTAGCTACCGCTGGTGAGGATGAGGAAGATCTGCGGGTAGTAGACGGACAGCAGCGCACTGCGAGACGAGATGATGAGCATGGTTGCGCATTGAACACAACTGGTTCTGCTCTCTTTGCGGGTTGAAAAGATAAGAAGAAGAAGGGGGGGAGGGGGAGTCTGTGAAGTGGGGAATAAGTATATCCTTTTATTTGAAGTCCCAAGAGATAAAAACGCCGGTGGGTCGTCTCTTCCTTCCGCTGTTGAGACGCGGTGTCTTCAGCTAGTGGAGCCGTGGCGCGCTGCGGCAGCTCCAAGCTCCGCTGTCCATGTGTCGGAGATGAGAGGCTGCATCCCACGGCCGAAGTGCGCTCTGCCACCTGGACTGATAGAGGACTGGGTGGGAAAAAAGGGGGAGAGAGAAGAAGAGATAGAGAGGGTGGGGGCGGATGGGGATCCGGAAGCGCGATACGATACGTTGCCGCTCACGTCTCCAAAAGTGAGACTGTTGTGGCACTGGAAGGGTGGGAGACAGTGGCCTCTCCCGGTGCCCCAGCCCCCGGGATGAGTCTGCACCCCGCATCCCACCGTATCCCCACCCCTGACACACCTCCTACTCCCCCAATTCAATCTCCCTCTCTCTCTCTCTTCCTCTCTCTAGGTTGTGCAGTTGATCATTAGAGGTAAAATTATATCTGTGTCGTCAATAATTGCATTTACATTTTGGGTCCTGTTTCAGCTTTTATGGATGCACTGTCTGTTGTGGGATCGAACCTGTGACCATCTGGTTACAATTATCTCACCACGACCCAAAACTGAACTTTAATATATTTTACACGTTGAATTACATTTATATGGCAATAAAAAGACCAACTTTTCTCACTAGTATAGTCAACCGTAATGAATTCACACCTTCATCCAGAATAAGTATCTGATTAAGAGTCATTGCCACTGTCATTTGTATGTTATTGCTATTATTTTAATATTAGTATTAAAGTAACAGGAAATCATGTTTTTCTTGAGGGAAGTTTTTGGAAGTTTGTTGATTAAAGTGACTAATAATAGAGGACTTGAGACAATCAGTGGATTAATTCATTAGTTGATCGACAGAAAATGATTAAGCAACTGTTTGAAATGTTGACTCATGGTTTCTGTCATTTTTGGAGAAAAAATGCCAAAATGAATTGGTTTCAACCTCCCAAACGTGATAATTTGATGCTTTTGTTTGTCTTATATGTTAGTAAACGGAATATATTTGGGGTTTTGGCTGTTTAAGTCAAACTCTTTCTGACACTTTATAGACAAAGCGATGAATCGAGAAAATAATCACCAAACAAATCAATGATGGTAACCGTTTATTGAACTGCAGACGGCTACAAACAAAGACGTGTTAAAGAATAAACATTTATATATGCAAGGCATGCATCATCTGATGTTATGCAGCATTAAGCCCTGCAGGGAAATTCTTTGTTTCTTTGTCCAAGCTTATTACTGAACTGCAGGAGTGTCAGTTCTCCTCCCATTGGCTCTTCTGCAGGGCAGCTGCTTGGTGAAACTCTTCAGTCAGTTGATGAGACTCATTGGTTTCCCAGCTCAGATGCATCACCAACAATACGCCCTCATGTGGTAGCATGAAGGAAATGCCAGCACCCCAAAACATCCGGCTAAACATTGCTGGAGTGCACAGCAGGTAGTTCAGCATCTGTAAGCCACAGTTTATCAACTTCTACATTTTGAATAAGGAAGCAGGATTGTTGTAAAATGTCTTTCAGACTATGTTGGAAAAGCAGGAAAGGTTTTTGATCAAATCACGCTGTTAGAATAGATGTCACATTTTTCTACATGGTTTATATTCTTGTTAAACCCATGCAGTCTTTGAAGTGCCCAGGTGTAACCAGACGGCAAAGCCAACAAGGACGATACACGAGGAATTTATGCTGTTTCTTCCTCTTAAAGATGTCCCCTGCAGACGGAGCCCTGTTTGCTGTGCGACTTTAAAGAGAGTGAAAGAAGTACAATGGGCGTCCTGTTCAATTCCACGGGACCTTCAAAGGCCGAGGAGTTTTATAGGCCTACTTCACAGAGTGGACAGAGGACAAAGTACATATTTCCTTCGCTTGTTGTTGACATTTTGGAGACCAAAAATTGAGACATTCTCAGCTTCACTCGAGCTGAGCAAATAACCACAAGGAGATAATATTAATAAAATTTGTTCCAAAAAGAGATATCAATCATCTGAACAAAAGTGAGGCCTTCTCTTAGAAAATGGTTGAGGGCAGTTTTGTGGAAATGAACCTTTTCATTTAAATACCCTGCATCTGCCAACAAAGCAGTTTGAGAGATAGCAGTGATTTGGAGTGTGAAAGAATAAAATAGCATTCATTCTTTCTCTGTTATAAGATTGGCCTGATTCTTATGGGCCAGTCAGACTGTGTGTAACTATAGCCGCAGTCGTATATACTCCGTGCTGTAAAGAATGAGAAGCAGCTTTGCCATTAAATTGAACCATCCTGGCTGTTGAAACCTTGTCACATAAACTCAATATACAGCTATTTAAGAGGACAACTCGCATGTCTGTGGCTCGTGGTCAACAGAAGCAGAAGCCTTTGTGTATATGTGTCTTCTGTACGCCTCTTAGTCTTTTTCTCTGTCTCTTTCTCGCTCCCTCTCCCTCTCTCTTTCTGTCCAAATAATCCTCCTCAAACCACAATTTCCAAAGCCAAGATAGCACTTAAGCAGCGTGCACTCACTGTCCTGGCGCTCGCACAGTGATATCTGTTTCTTTTCATATTTTTGCGCAGAAGGCGAGTGAACATGGAAACTTGGGAAGTTTGGGTCTGCGCGAGGAGGTTCTTCTTCAGGGACATCAGGTCAGGGATGACTGTGGCTCTAAAAAACGAACGTGACATGTTTTGTTTTGTTTTATCTATTGGGACAGCTGTCAGAGCTTTGACGGAAAAAGGATTTGATAGCACCGTCCGTATGATGATGATGATGATGAGTGACAGGGCTGGAGACAGGCAGGGGTAAACCGGAGCAGCGAGGCAGAGGGGCCTCAAGCTGGAAGCAGGCCTAAAAGGTCCAGATTAATAATGGTGTCTTGTGACTCTTTGGGATGTTGGGCCTATCTTGTCCTTGAGCCCAGAATGCCTAGCTGGGTCCCTCAGTGCTTGTCCAGGAAACGGTATTGTTGATCATAATAGTAAACTGATAATTGATAATTCATCACAAGTAACATTTTTAGGCGGAAGTGCGGGTGACAGTGTTAAACATGACATCCCCACGGAGTTGAAAGTATAAAAGGAAGGTGCTACATGCAGACCCATTATCGGCTCATGCATTTGGGGTAGGGAAAAAAATAACATTGTATTGTGATATTTGGTGTTATAGTACTATATCACATATGCCAAAGCTATAAATACTCCAGAAAGCACGTTGAACCCCTAGCTGATTGACATCAGCTGCTTCATTCATGCTTCACAATCACTGGCTCATTCACAGCTGTTTGGCTACCAGCTGACTAGTAATATCCACTCATATTCATGCTTTGACACTTCTTACTATTACTCCGCTGTCACTCAGCTCAGGCTAACACTGTTTTCTGCTGCAGCTTAATATTATCCCAGAAGAATCTTTGTTGCTCCTCAAATTCTTTTCCACCAAATCAAACCGTATAATAAGCAAAAGCAGTAGTAGTGCAGTTGTCCACACACAGTTAGTCTGTATGAAAATTGAATGTCCTTCATAAAAGTGTTCACGCTGTTTTGGCTACGCAAGCAGTAGTCAAAAATGTAATATCAAAATACACATTATTATAACTCTACTGAGCATATCACAAACTCTAAACCATATATGCACCAACAGTGCCATATTGTGGACTAGAAAAGAATGGTCTTTAATGTCCCTGAAACCAAGTTTAATTTTCACACAGTAGTCTAAAATGGAGAGAAATTTGAGAAAAACATGCAGGAGCCAGCCCACTGTTGACAGTTATTACATTGGGCATGCCAAAGTACTCCACATTTAAAAGGCGATAGCTTCCTTCAGTAAAATAATCCATGGCTTCTGTTTTTAGAGATAAAAAGGTCATCACCTCTCTGGTCCTAGACGTATATAAAGTATATAAAATACTGTGTTATTATTGTGTCTTAAAGCCTTTATCGTTTTTTCAAAAACACACCAATGAACAACACTGACATATGACATGTTGCTTCATTACCACATACAGTGTGACTATTAGGCCAGTGTACACCAGCCTGGCTGTAAACACCCACTCTACTTATATCAATCCACAGCAAAAAAAAAAAAACCCATAAAATGCACTATTTACTACAGGCCCAGCTATTTTAGGAAATAGCTTTGCCTTAAAAAAAAGGTATATATATATATATATATATATACACTCTATGTGACCCATCTTTAAAGATATACATAGAAAGTGATGTGCTTGGGGCCGCGACACAGACAGTATTGAGACAGACTAAAACATTGTTGGTTTTGGTCTTTTGTTTTGTTGATAATAAGAAAAATACAAAATAACACCAGCCTTAATCTTTAAGTATGACATATGAGTTTTAATTAGATGGGGAAAGACATGCATCAAAGGCCTCGGTCCTGTATATCGTGTGTGTGTCTCTGATCCACTAAGACACCCTGATGGGTTTAATTTGTTTAGGTCAGACAAGTGCATATGGGCCATTTTGGCACACAGCTACATGCAACTCAAGTGGCTTTTCAAGCTTTACCGCAATGTCAGAGGCATTGTTTAGACTGTAATATGGCAAGACAAACACATGGTGCTTATATGTTTAATGGGGTAAAACGCATGCTGGAATGCAAGAGAAATCCGAGTGTGGTTGGGGGAAATGAACATCGCCCCCCTGCACTTTGAAGGGATTACGAAGTGTCACCGATAAAAAACAAAACTACCCCGGGGGCGAACAGGCAAGAGACTATTTATGACACAACTAAAAGAAACTACTTTGTAATCAAATCTAATTTACACTGTTCAGAGCATCCATGAAACCCGACAAAGCTGACAGGGGGAAATTGTTTCCATGTTGCAGAACAACAATTCCACTTTTGAGCAATTATTGTCTATG